TGTGAGAGAGAAAAGAATCTGCGGCCAGAAAAAGGTTCTTCCTTCTTATGGGTTGCTGTCCCTATACAAAAGTAGGTCACATGGTGAATCTATTGTATAGTACACAATTTACCGTGCAAAAGATTTGGTTCTTCCTCCGTCCAAATGTCGACGATGCATGGCGTCATTTTCTGTTTTCGAGGAAAGGGTTGTTTCACGCGATTTTGGTCGGCGTGGATTCTGTTGCTTTATGCTAAGGTTAAAGGTGGAGTGTGTTAGCACGCGCAGTGAATTCGTCTAGGTTTTAGGCGGAGTTTCTGGTCTCGGTTTTTTAGGCAAAGGCATTGGTTGGCAGAGGGAAGGTGTATGGTAAGGACATTGTCTTCGCACGTCATCGTTTAGGCAGATATTACTATCTTCATTTAAATCATGTCTGAAAAATATCTTTGAATGAGTCCAAGACCGATTAGATGCCTGTTTAAATTTATCGGCTCGTTTGAGCCCCATTTTTAAATAGTATATTGATAAAAAATATACAATTAGAAAATAAAGAAAATTTTTGAATTTACATGTAATATTATTTTATTAAAAAATATGTGGTTAAAATGTGGTAAAAATCTATTCAATAATTTTTTTCCCCCCAAAAAATGCCAGCTCAAATTAAAAACCATGAACAGGTGGAGTGAAAAATAGCTTGGAGTCAAGAATTGTTATTGGCATGAGGATTGATTTCGAAGTTATTAGGGTTAGGTCTTGATTGCGATTTGGAGTGTCATCAGCAAACGAGGTTGGGTCATAAAGTTGTTTGACATTACTAACTCGATGAGTTAATCAATCATAACATAAGTTCTTGTTTGGACAACATTTTAAGCAAAATTTCAATAGTTGGATATACAAATGGATCCCTATGTCACCATCATTATCGACTCAAAAAGATGCAATATCTGCAATAGAATCACTAAGGGGTTGTTCTTTTCGTATTTCAATTTTGTAGTTTTAAGTTTTAAATTCATTTTGGGTTTTGTGTTTTGAGTGCCTGTTTGAAATTGTTGAAAGTGCGTTCTTTTTGCAATTTTGGAAAACTATTTTTCAAATGGAACTATTTCTCGTGTTTTCAATTTTTTCAAATTTTGTACTGAAAACACCTAAAACGACAAAAATGGCGTTTTGTGTTTTCTTCACAATTTTTTTTTCGTTTTCAAAAATTCGTTTTTGAAAACGGGAAAGAGAACGCGTTTTTACCGTTTTGAAAAATCGAAAATTGAAAACGGCCCGAAAACAGTAAAGAGAACACACCCTAAGTTTTTACTGCATATCTGTAAAAAAATTGATTAAAGTTTGTTGAAAATTGCTCCTAGGAAGGAGCTAAAATTTTGAGGAATAGGCTGATCACATTCTGAAAGGTCTACACATGGTGGATGAATCTATGGTCCTAAATAGAAGGCAAATTACAAGTGTTTGAAACGAGTCACCTCAAAGATTTCTTTTCTAGAGGGCGTTGAACCTAAGACGCTCGAAGAGTGAATATCACAAAATAGTATCATTGTCTCCTAACAATATGGTTGATTTTGATGTTTTGTAATCCGGTTAGAATGTTGACTTATAAAGAATAGAATGTCATGTGTCAAATGATTGAATCCGAGATGAAATGGAATTAAATAGATTGAACCAGAATTAAATCAGGTTGAATTAGAGTTGAAATTTCAACGTCTCAATTTATTCATGCATTTTGTCTACAAACT